TGATAGATAATGATGACTAGTAACTTGTTCTAATTGTTTAAGTAATGGTGCACGTGCACGTGATTGGGAACCATTGATTTCTGTTACCTAAAAGATTATGATGTTTAAAAAATTCTCCGTAATATTTTATTTACAATTATGATTGAAATTCAGACGAAACGAACAAGCTGATCTGTAAACTCGATATCTTCATTATAGTTGGCAAGTTTCATTTCTCACATGGATTACAAAATACAATATCGATCGAATGGCTGATATGAAAGTCTCTATCGTAGTTACTACAAAAATACTTGAATAAATTTCTAATTAACTGAAAAATATTTGCAGATATTCCATAAAGCTTTCCAAGTATATCAGGCTTTTCTTGAACGAGTAGATAGCTGAACTGTGTTTTTCAAGTCGTAAAGACAGGAGGCACTAATACTGCATCGTGTTTATTTCTATCACTATGTTTATAATTAATACCTTATAGATCATAAACTAGAAGAAATCGAAAATTAATAAACTCTTGCGATTTTAAACAGTTTGGACATGTATTTTCATAGGTTATAGGGTAGATTCATACTTTAAAATTATGTTGTTCAGCAAGTGCATGTACAAGTGATGTTGTTCCAGAACCATGAATAAAAATTATTTGTGGATGTTCTTGTTTTGATTGACAACGATTATAATAAATCATATCTAAATAACAATATCAAATAATTTAGCTGTTAGTTCTTTTATACATACTTGAGTCGTCAATAAAATCTTCATCTGAATTATCGTCATTATCTCTGGCACGTTTTCGTCCTTTTCGTGTAGTTTTCTGTGGTTTATCATTATGTAATTTCTTTGTCCAATGTAAAAACCATTCATTTAAACGTCGGATTTGTTTTGTATGATTACCAAGGTAAGCTTTTGAATGTCGTGGGCGATATATTTCTGTCCAAGGTAATTGTTCGTATTGATCTATGAGGAGAAAAAGAATTTATTTCGTAAAATACTCAAGAAAAATCTTTCTATAATTTACTTTGATCTATTGATTTCTGTCGATAATCTTGTAAATGGTGAAACATTGATTTCCAATCAATTGCTGATTGAGCATAAGAACTTAAATTATCAGTTGTATATTCTTGAAATAATTCCATTTGACGTTCATTCGATGGAATACGAATAAACTTAAATTGATAAAAGATTATTTAATAGACAAGATCGAACAATCTATACTTGAAATTTAGATGATTCAATTTCATTTTGATTATTTGTTTGACAAATACCATGAAAATTTCGTAAATAATTCGGTGACAAATCATTATCTGATTCATTTAATTTCCATTGATTAAATAATGGAATTATATTATTTTGTAAAGATTTATCATCTTGACGTATATGTACAGGTAAAAGAAAATCAGATGGACGAGATGGAATTTCTAATCGTTCAATAACTGGTTGTATTTCAGGTTCACATTCAATTATATCTAATACAACAAAATCAATCTTTATATATAATGATAGAACCAAAATCTCTCAGAAGAATATAACTCAACTATTATATTTGACAGTCTTTCAAAATATTTCTAATATATGATTTTTATTCAGGCTTCATCGAGTGCAACAAGATTTTCTGAATGAATGTTTTCTACTTATCCAAGTAGATGTTCTCTTCTTCTAATATAATAGGTTTTTTTAATAATTATACCTTCTTCTTTATCATCTAGGAGTATTGGTGATTGTTGTTGAGATTTATCAAAACATTGAAAAATTGTTTTTTGTGTTAATTTCATAATAGAACATATAATAAACGAACTTAACTAATTCATTCAACAAAAAAGAGAGTCTTGTCTTACTGAATGCTTCTTTTTATTGGATTGGTTTATATTTTTCATCAATTATAATATTTTATTTAGATAATTCGAAATAAAAATTCTTTTAAATAAAAATTAAAAGAATTATTTCCGATAATTTAAAATCTTTCGAATTAATTTATTCTCTTTTTTCTTACATCGATAGTAGCGACATCAAATGAGTATTCAATTATATCTTGATGTTTATTGTTTATTTATTATCGTTCAAGATAATGTTATATCAGACGTGATGATCTTTTTCTTTTATCAATGGGATCAAAATCCTCACCGTCCGATATAGTAAGACAAAAGAAAATGATTTAGTTCTTAATTTTCTGTTTAAACTTTTTTATTTTTCAAAGATTAATCTAAAATTAATTCTTGTCAGTGGTAAAACAGCTGAATTTCAATTTCGACCATCGACAACAGCATCTGATGTAGCTAAACATGTTTTTGAAAATTGGCCTGAAGGTTTTTTGTTGTTGTTGTAATAATTGTATTTTTATTTTGTTTTAAATTAGATTGGGGAAATGAACAGCGAGTTGATCGTTATGAAGTATTAAGATTAATCTATCAAGGAAGATTTTTACATGGAAATGTTACATTAGGAGCTCTTCGTCTTCAACAAGGCAAAACAACTGTGATGCATCTTGTTCCACGTGAAAATCTTCCTGAACCTACAAATGGCGATCAAAAACGAAAACATAAACATGACAATAATCAAGATAGAACAGCCGATCATTCACAACGTGCAATATCACCACATCGATCAAACACTGCTAGTCCAAATTCAACAACAACTGGGTGCTGTGAAGGATGTACAATATTATAAATATGAAAAGTTTTGAGAAGAAATGTTTTTTGTTTTTGTCAGATGAAGATTTCTAGAAATGAGTATTCTCTAAAAAAGGAAAAAAAGGAAAAAAACCGTCCGTTGTCATGTTTTCTTTTTTTGTTTGCCGGTGGGTTTTTCAATATCTGTCAATTATGTTCTATTGTATTTTGAATTTTCTCTAATCGTGATTTTCTTGCTTATTAATTATTGTATAAGAATATAAACTAAATTTCGCTTTTTGTTTTGTTTTCTCTTTTTGATAACTATATCCTATGTTCTCATTCATTTGCACTCATTGTTGTTTCTTGTAATTATTCAAACATATACATATAAAGGAGAGAAGAAAACATTCACATACATTTCATTTCTAATAACTTATTTAAAAATAAATAAAAAATTTGTATTAACAAAACAAAAAAAATCTATGCGCCTTTATTTATATTTTCAAGATGACTAATGATCAACAACATGATATTACGGAAAATAAATTACACAAAGAAATGGAAGGTATATTTAGAATAATATAAATTCCAAATAATAGTTGAGAATATTTATGATGAAATATGATTTTGTCGAACGGTTTTTTTGAGAGTTTACAATTCATTAGAATCGAGTTGTTATGGATTTTTCATTCTTTTGTATGGCTCTAAAATTGACCTTAGAAAATTCTGGAAGCATTCGTATTAATGACTGTTTTACTTAAATTCAGGTGCTTATTTTTAAACATGTCTATTTTCGAATTATTAAATTACTCAGAAATACAACTGCAAACTTTAGGTTACCTAGACTATGCTTTATTTGAAAATCTGGCTTATTGATAATATGTTAAATATAGTAAAAGGAAACCCTACGGTTCGATCTTTTTTTATTATTTTCAAATTACTTGAAGACATACTGTTATTAATGATACACGAATTATAACTGATTAGACTACTAAGCTTCTTAAATATTAAAAAGCAGAAATGTCAGATGAGTATATATGAACTTTAGAGTTTTGCCCTAGGCTTCTAGTGTGAGTTACTAGTAGATTTATTGTTATATATAATTTATTTAGGTATGGATGATGATGAACGATTGGAATATATAAATAAATTAAGTACAATTGTTTTTGATGAAATCATTGAAAAGAAAAATGGTGAACCATCAAAATGGCAAAGTTATTGGGAAAAAGATGAAAATGATATTGAACATTGGTCAGAAAATGATATACGCCGTGATCCAATTAAAGGCTTATTAACAGCCGTTGAAGATGGTGATCTTTTACAAGTTCAACAATATATTAATTCTAATCGATCACTTCTTAACGGGCGTGATTGTGATGGTTATACAGCATTACATCGTTCGGCAAGTGGTAATCATTTAAAAATTTGTGAATATCTACTTGAATCTGGCGCAGATATACATGCATTAACAGATGATAAATGGAATGCATTACATTGCGCAGCATTTTGGAATAATTATGAAATAGTATCATTATTATTACAAAATGATATTGATATAAATTCACAAACAAATGGTGGACAAACAGCATTACATTTAGCTGCATCACAAAAAAATCATCGTGAAACAATTCAATTACTTCTTATGCATCCATTTATTAATGTAAATATTCAAAATAAATTAAATGAAACAGCAATTATTATTGCAAAACGTTCCAGTGCTGTTCATTGTCTATTTGATTTATATACAGATGCATTAATGAAATTAAAATAAATTTTTATCTGTGATTTAGATCTGTTAAAACTTAATACTAATTTGATAGTAATGCAGAACTTCGAAATCTTAGATTTGATGATTAATAATATTCTCAGTCTGTTTTGATAGTATCTTGACAAATCAAATTTATTACTAAGGTTCTTGTCATCATGAAAAGAATGAGACAATCTTATATAAATTGATTTATTTCATCCGTTGACTATCAATTCTTCTTTATCATGAAACTAAATCAATTATTTGCAATGATGAGCCAACTCCATGAATGTTGTTTACTTAGGCTAATATATCATCAAAATAAAAGCATTTTTCGAATTCACGTGTTAATAGAATCCTGTTGATTTTTCTTTTTATACAAAACATAGAATAAGAACGTGCACGGAAGAGAAAAAGAACTAATAACAATCATCACAGAAAAAAAGAAAAAAAAGTTGATGTTCAAATGAAATTCGTTCGTACGAGAAAACATGTCACTGTTATTTGTTTGTTTGTTTTTTTAAATAAAAAGACGAAAAAGAAAAGAAAATGATTGCTTGAGCTGTGTTTATATAAATAAATCAACACACATCAAAAATGAAAAAAAAAGAATTTTAATCACAACTGAAAAACAAACCATGAAAAAGCAAAAATCACACAGCATCAATACTCGTGCAAAGTTCACGTAGTAATTGTAAATTTTTTGGTGGTACTGATGAACTTGAACTTGCTTTATCAATTAAAGTACTACCAAGTTCTGCATATAATGCTGATGTTATGGAATGTATAGAGGAATTTAAAGTATTCACACCACCAGCTGATGATGTTACAGTCGTAGAATTTTGACCACGTAATTGAGTTAACAGTTTCCAATAGGTTGGTAACAGATGAATTTCAACTTGTTTCGGTTTTCGTTGACATACTTGAGGTACAAGAGCTAAAAGATAATAATAAATTTTAAATCTTGCCAGATTTATTGAGAATGAAAACAAAGGGACGTAATACCAGTAAACTCCAAAAGCAGAGGAGGCGACGCTCTAGTTCTGCAAAGTGGTCCCGTCAGTTTTTTTTATCATATATTAAACTAGACATTTTCTTGTCTATAATCTTTGTAAATTACGAAATGGCAAATCAATATTTCCAGTTCCAGCTATGAAAAAAACATATTTGATTCGCATTGAAAATATTAAAAATTTTTACCAACTTCATAGATTATTTTGCAGATGAAGGAAAAACTTTAGATCGGAACCGGGATCGAGACTACTTCAAAAATTTGATTGGGACCCGGACAGCTGCAAATACTTGACCGGGGCTGGGATCGGGACCGGGATGGGACCGGTACCGAAAAAAAGTGATTTTGCAGCTCCCTAGCCACGACGCGTTCACCCCCGATATGTCCCTGCTGACTAGATATATATAAAGAGGTACTATTTAAATGATCAGTTGTTTTTCTTATAGCGTGATCAGTATTTTTGATCAGTAAATATATCCTTTCTGAGCAGTAAACGATGTCGAATGTCAGTAATCACGATCAGGGCCTGGGTATGAGTATGATTGCGATTGTGGGTGTGAATGTGCCTGTGGATGTGAGTGTCCATCTCTTATCCATCCACATCCATACCCACACCCAGTTTGAATTTTTTACTGATAATTCACAATAAAACTACTGATCGCTTTTACTGATCATTTTGAATGAAAACTGGCCATTTAATTTGTACCCTATATAAAACATGAACTTCAATTTGAGAGTAATCTGATCAAATTGAAAATTATTGAGTATTTACGCATTTATGATGAGTAAATCAATATTGATATACTCTTGAATCTGATTTTGTCTACATTTTATTTTATTAATTTACCTGCTAATTTAAGAACAATCTCCGGTCGAATACGAAGATTACTATTTTGACTAAGTATACATAATGGTTGTAATAATACACCACAATCTATGAAAGACAGAAAGAAATTAGATAAATTTATTTTCTTTCTATTATTGTACCAATATATTCAATAGTTGTATCAATAATATCCGATGCAATTTGTGAGATTTCTCGATTGTTTGATGCAATATTTTGTGCAACAACTGGTAATGTTGAATTAATAACACTTGATAATGAATCGCCTAATATGGGAACAAGTTGATGCATTGTATTTAATGCTTTAAGTACAACTTTAGAATTCGTATCAGCTAAACATTCATTGAAACCATCAAATATTTTTACAAGAGATTGAATAGCTGTATCGGTTTCAAGTTCACATAATTTTTGAAATTCTTCGATACCATTTACACGTTCACGAAAATCTGAACTACGCATTTGTTTTGTTAAATCTCGAACTTGTTCGGCTTGATCAGCTGTATTTAATTTACGAGTTGATGAAAATTGCTTTGTTAAAGTTCTAAAATTATATTTTAAATAAAATCTTATACGATTTTAAATATTTTTCTACCCATTTGTATTTATTTTATCATTTGATAATGCTCGTCGATTATTATTTCGTGCAGATTCACTTGGAGTTTCACCAACACCTCCCTAATTCATTTAAAATAATAATAGCAAAAAAAAAGCTCTAAATCTTATTTTACTTTAGCTCGAATATTATCAAGAATTTCACACATATTTTTATAAGCACTTGGAGTAAGATATTGTTTCATTAATGAATCAAGTGTATCAAATGACATAAACATATGATAGATTTTTTTACCATACCATCTTAAACAAAAAAATTTAAAATTTATTTAGATTTTTCCTTATTCTATTACCTAATTTCTGGCGGTCCATCTGATGCAAATGCTGCACCAACTTGTAATACACGTTCAGTAATATCTCGAGTACCAGTTAAAATTTTCGTTGGACCTAATTTTTCACAAACTTGATAGATGTATTTAGCTGACGCTTTTCTTGCAGCTGGATTACGATGGCTAGAATTAAAATTTTCTATATCCATTGATGATTACTAAGCATTTCAAGGGTTCCTATTAGTCTACGGTATACTTTGAAAAAAATCTATTTTTACAATTTAATTGTTTTAAAGTTAACCGGTGTAAAAATGTTTTTAGTATTCTATCAACGATGAAATTTTAATTTACCTCGCTCCACCAGCTATTAATGCCTGTAATGCTTTTTGAAGTGTCACATTATCCACCATTGTTTGTATACATTTTTCTGTATCAGATCGAAAAAAATCATTAGCTTCTGCACTTTTTTGTATTAGCGATTTTACAGTTATATCAAGTTCAATATCCATATTACGTTTTAAATATTTAAACATATCACAAAATGCTGCTAAGGCAAAACGAGCTACTTGTGATCGAAGATTTTTCACCTTGAAGAAAAAAAAATAAGAAGTTGTGATGTTGTTTTTTAAGTAAACGAAAAAAATTCAACTAACTTCTTGTATAAGAATTAAAACAACTTGATGTAAATTTTGTGTTATTGTATCTGGATATTGTGCAATAATCATTTGAAGTAAATTAAGACCCGAACATTTTTGTTCCCAATCATCTTTTGATATTGAATCCATTGCTTCTCGATAAGCAGTCGAAGGATTTTTTAATTGATCCGCCGCATGATCTTCTGATGATGGACGATTCAATGTAAAACGTTGTTCAGTTGTTGGCATATCACGTCGATTATTAAATGTTTGTGAACGAGCCATACTAAAATAGAATTTATGTCTGTATAGAAAATAAATATAAACCTAATATTTTCATACGAATTTTTTAATACACGAGGACGTTGTTGTGATGGAAAATTGGGTAGAACAGTATTTATATTTGAATCAATTTGACGTCGTGATGTTGTTAATGGTAGATCATTTGTAATTGCTGTAAGATCAGGTTGAGATGAATATCGACTAGTTGATGTTGATGATGATACTGGCATATCATTATCATATGGAGTATCATCATTATCATTTATTAGATCTTCACGAGAACGATTTTCTCGAGCTTGTCGACGACGTGCTTTTTGTTCAATTTTTTCTTGAGTTTTCAGTTGAACACGTAAACGAAATGATGCTGATAGAGATTGACCCATCTCAACAGTCTATGGAATAAAATAGAATCTCTTCGAAATACCCATGACAATATACAACGTCAGTAGTGACTATTGAGAGTAACTAATAAAATTCTCATTTCACTGAATCCAATAAGATCTAACTTGGAAGTAAGTGTTTATAGGATTCACTTTGGAAAAAAGCTTTTTTGATAATTTTGAAAGTATGATTTAGATTGGAAATCTTCGTTTTAGAGAACTCATATTATTACAAGGTCAAATAACAATTTCTCCTATTTTCTTTCATCACAACTATGAGTTTATAGCTAGAGAGATATCGGTATATCTTCCTTAGTTTACCAGTATCTATGACGCATAGGAATTACTTCATATGTTAATCGTGTATAGATTATCTTACTAAATTTTGTATTGAAAAAAGGAGCTTTTCATCTGTAGATAGTGTTTTATCTCCTAGGGGTCAAACGCAAAATCGTAAATCTCTGAAAGGCGAACGTAATCTTTGATGGTGCAAAATGTCCCATTCGGCCACTAGAAAAAGCACTGTTTGTAGAATAAATCTGATCAAAAGATTCTGATTTATACGCAAACACGAATATTTCTGACGATGTAGTATATAAATTTTTATTAATTATAATCATACTTACATTCTCATTTTCTTTTGAATCACTATCAAATTCATCCGACATCGTCTCAATATTATCATTTTGATCATTTAAAATATTATTCATTATATTATTATCTTGTGCTCGAAGTATATTTGTTTCATTTTTTGTACGTGAGGGTAAATGAACAGCTAAAATATCAAACACAATAATTACACTATAGTTTTATTTTCTTCCTAATTTACCTTTTCCAACAACTCCAATATCATGATTATCATCAACATTAGATCCATCTTCCATATTAAAATTTGAATTTGAAGGATTAGTAAGAACAGAACCTATACGTAAAAAAAATGGATGATAAATGTGTATTATTTATTAATTTTTACGTCATTTTATTTTGCACTGAAATATATGTCATTATAATATTGTTTATGCTTGATCTCAATAACAAAATTATAAAGCATGATTTCACACATCTCTTTTCTGTTTTATCTATGAATAGATTATAATTTCGTTCTTCTTTTTCTTTCTCTCTATAGTTGGAATCTACCTGTCACAAGTATATTTTATATAATATCCCTACCAATGTTAGTCTATCTTGAATACAAAAAAAAGATAAGATGATATATGACATTTATGAAATTGAAATCATAAAAATGTAAATTATTAACCTTATATAAAAAAAAATCTTCTATATTTGGCTAGTCTATTCCACACAAATATTATGTCACTTCAAGATATATTATGAATGACAGCTCAAATAATTATTAATGTCATAAGATTGAATTGTTTTTAGTCTAGTTTTTATAAAAATGAATAATGACCGAAAAAGTACATCTTTATGAACTTTAGTTTTTAATAAAGTCATGCTCGAGATAGTGGGATTGTTGATATTTAAATATGTCCTACAAGTTCAATTCGCGGAATCTTCATATTATATTTCCGATTCGAGCAAGAAATGAAAGAAGAAGAGAGAATATCAAATAACAAACCTTTAATAATTTTTGCGCGAGATTTATTTCCTAATTGTGGTTGTTTATCATCCGTACTATCAGTTGATAATCTTCTTGTTGAATATTTTTCATCCGTATAACCCCGACCAACAACTTCAACATATGGATTATATGATCGATGAGCTTTTTCATTAGATGAATAATTATCATAAACTTGTGCTGGTAATGATTCAGTGGGTGGTACTTGTGCTTTTTCAATTAGAGATTTCGAACCAGAACGAGCAAGACGTGGTTTTGTAGAAAATAATTGTTCTTTACTTAATGATCTATGAAAATATAATGAAATAAGAATCATATTTATTGATTTATCTATTTTACCTTGTAGCACTGTTAGCATCATATTCAGTATCACGACCAGATGGTGAATACACTCCACTTTCATTACTAGTTTCTGGTGTTAGGGTATGTGTTGATGTTGATTCAAGATCACTGTTAGTACTGAATATACGATTTACTTTACGTCTTGTTGAACTACTATGTACTGATCGAACAGGTTTTTTCGATTGTTGATGATTATTCTAAATACATATTTTTTTTCTTATAATAAAATAAAACAAAAATCTTATATTTTACCTCACGTTTACCATCATCTGATGTATTAATGGATAAGGAACGTGATCCTGTTGCACTATCAATACCTTCATCATGATCCATATCAGAATCTAATTGACGTACAGGATGTTTTTGATCATAATGATTATGAAGTTGTGATGTAACCAAAAGATTATGTGATGCTGGCATTCGTCCACCAGATGGACGACGTGGTATTACAGCACGAAATTGTAGAGGATTGTTGCCCTGAGTAGTGCTATCTATAGAAACGAATCAATTAGTTATAATAATACAGATCATAATTAGAAATAAATTAAGCATTGTTACGGGGAATGGTGTGTTCTCTATATATATCCTTATGATATTTTAAAACTTAAATCTCTCCTATCTTTTCTAAGAAGTTAATATTTTTCAAAAAAAAGAACTAATATGTTAGTTTGTATAATATAACAAACCTTGTCGTTGAACTGTTATCAAATCTTTTCGATGATTATTTGTTTTCAATAAATTTTTTGTCCAATCATCGGGAAATACTTTTTCTGTCAATGTCAATGGACGAATACTATTACTACTATTTACATTAAAATCAAATGATGGTCCACTGGATGTAATAGTCGTCATAACTGCTGCTAAAATATAAAAATCCGAATATTTTCATTTTCTTATATTGTTCTCTTTCAATACATTGGAAGAAGAAAGAATGATTATCGATATTATGACATATGAGAAAGAAAATATGTCTATAGTTAACTTAATAAAATCGCAAGAAAAAAGTTAATTAAAAAAACCTATTGATTCTTTTTTCTCTTTCAATAAACTTACTTATTGTAAAGAAGAAAAAAAATGAATCAAGAAGGAGACATAAATATATATTTGTCTAAGAATTCTAAAAAAAATATTGTTTTCATTATAAAAAATATTCTACGGTACACTCTGTTAGTTGTACTACAAGATAATAATAAATATATAAGAAGAAGAAAAAAAACAACAGAAAAGATGAAACTACTTTTTTTGTTTCTACACTACCAATTTTTGTTGGACGTTTTGTCGATAAATTCAATCGCCTATTTAGTTGGTGACGCGGCTGACCTGATGTGCAATGAGGGGAAGAATACAAAAGAAAACATATCAAACCAAGACAACACCTGAATGACAAGTTAATCATAAGTACTTACGATTAATTGCTGTTTCATAATGATGATTATTATTATTGGTATATCGATGTGAGTCGTATTCACCAGTAGGCTGTTTTAATGGAGGTATTTCACGACTGCGCATTACCTATAATATATATAAAATAGATAAATGAAACTGTGACTGACATGCTTGTGAGATTAATGACAGATTATTATATGAAATGTGTAGGTGTATTCATGACAGGATCTTATAAAAAAAATTTTAATTATCTTTTTACATGGAATTAATAAAATATATTTTTTTGAAAGAGGAGAAATATAAATGAATCCCGTTTTTATGTCATTAGGAAACAAAAAAAATTATGTAGTTAGTCAACTTGATATTTTTCTGTGTTAAGCGAAAGTTTTGGTTATATCGACCTATACTTGTTTGACATTCGAAGTAATCAATCTCGTTTATAAAGACTAAATAACACGAAGTTCTATAATATAGAAGTTGACTGAAAATCTCGATTACTATATGATATATTAACTATTCTATCTGAATATAAGTGCATTCACAAAGCGAACGTAATAGGATTCTTTTAATCAGAAACGTCATATTAACATTCTTTAGAAACTACCTTATTAGTTATAAATATCTTCTCTACATAAAAAAAAAATACGTCATTCACCGGTAATTCGAATTCAACCACAAAACAATACGATCGTTAAAAAACAGAAAGAACGAAAGAAAGAAAGAAAAAGAAGAATATCATATTTCATGTGCGATGCTCACTGTAGGCGTATATATATATAATAATGAGTAGCAATTTTTTCTTCTTCTCATCTGTTCTAAATAAACGTCGAAAACTTACAAAAACTCTTTTATATGTCTATACTTCTACTAAGATGAAGATAACCTGTATATTTACATCTGACTTTAACCAGACATCTGTAAACAAAACTTACCAATGATTTAGACTTTTTAGGCCAATATGAAAATTTTTTATCACCAGATAGGAACATTGTCTGATAAGAAAAATGTATATAGGTGTTAAATCGATATATTTACTATTAATGATAGTTAAAAGAAATCTTTAGACAATAGCAGTAGTTGCTGTTGTTATTTTTGTTACTTTTTTTTTCGGCTCATGTATGTACGTCATCGCCATCGAACAATAATGAAAGAGTAAAATTTTCAATCATTCAATTCTCATGTACTTTACATATACTTAGACATTACTTTTTATTTCCCTTCTTTTTTCTCTCTCTGTTTCTCTCTTTCTTTTTCTTCGTTTATGAAAGTTTTCTTTTTTTATTGATGATGACGGTTTTAGTTATTTTAATGTACTGAAGACAGACAGAAAAGTTAAAAAAAATATATGCTTTGTCATTACTTGATATGTTTTATTCATGATTATTAGCATTTGTTTTCAGCTGTATAGCAGCTGATTATGAAATTATAATACTTATCTTTAGATTTCTTCAAAGAAATAAATAAGCACATTTTTAAGTATTGACATATGATCTTTTATACTCAAGATAAGACATAATTATAGAAGCACGATAAAATATTGTAGAAAAATTTTTTTCATTTCAACGTAATAAATATTTTAGAGAATAAGTAGAAAAGTATTTATAGATATTTATTTAGACAAGTCATAAGAAATAAATTCTTCTAACAGATCTATCATAAACTAATGTAATTTAACCACCTAGACAGACAAAACTCAAAAAAAAACGGAGAAATACGGCGTAGAAATTTTAACGAAAATAAAATCGAGAAAAGCGCACATTTTTATGATTTTTATCTCCATTAGCTTTGTTTACTGTGATTAACGCGTCGATAATCTGTGCTTAAAGCGTTAAAACTCATAAAATAACGTGTAAAACCACATTGAATTCCGCCTTTCGACGAGTAACTACGGGGTAGATTTTAATACAGTAGAACGCTTTCCAAAAAATTGCGTAGAAACGCGTTTTTTAGAGGTCTCGGCAGTGGCGGATCTAGGATTTTGGAAGAGAGGGGCGATTCCTAAGTAGGGGAAAGGAGGCAATCGCCCACCTTAAATCCGCCACTGAATTTAACATAGAATTTCTTTGAAAAGTATATCTTTCGTTTTCGAACTCTCGTAGAGCTATTGATAATTAGTGTTTATCATTAATACAACTTACTGTATCATTCGTATTTGCCTTTTTTGCTGCAAATGGCATTGCTAATTGAAGTAGTTTGGTATTATTTGCTGAGATTTTCGTTGATGGACTATCAAAATTCGTTGCTGTTGGTGGTGTTTTCACCGAATTATTATTAGCTTGTAAAATAAATTTCGTATCTGGATCATTCATTGTGGTTGAATCGCAAACTAAACCCGGTGTAATATTTCCATCATCAGTTAATGATGGAAATAGATTACGTTGTAAACGAAATCGTAATGCATGTGATGCATCATAAGATAGTTTATCAATTAATGATAAAACTAATTTAATCGATTGATTTGTATCAATCATTGTTGATGTTAAAGGTTTATATGCATTAAAATACGTACATATAACTGTAAAACATTCCATAGCTCCATGTCGTAATTCTCGTCGATTTGATACTAACATAGGAAGTAAATGTTTATATATACTTGATATACTATCATAATGATGTTGTCGATGTTTAATTAATGTTGCTGTTACTATAGCAAGAAGTTCAAGTTGTATACGATAATTATAATATTGAAATTGATCATCGATTAATTCATTAAGAATCATTTGTGGATGAACAAAATTTCCAAGTAATATTATAATACTAACACTGTATTTCTATTTAAAAACAAACATATAGTGACTAGTAGTTTTATTTATTCTAAAAGACTACATACGGCTAATTGTCGATTATTTGATTGTCCATTGAGTAGAATATTTTTAAATACTTGACAAATTGTTTTATAATGTTTTTTACAATAATTTCCTTGTGAATGTTTAATAAGCCAAACAAGACATGTTGATAGGACAAGTTTAATTTTAATTGATAAATCAATATTTGTTCCTGTTATATAAGATAATAATTCAAGTATAGATGATAAAAATGTATGTAATGGTTGATGAAATTGTAAATCAGATGTTGATGTTGATGGATATTGTGAACGAAGTATTTGAAAAGATTTATCACTTAAAACCAGAAGACGATCGACATAAATTAAACGATTCGTTTCATTTGATGTCATCCATTTTGCATGTATAGTCTCAATAAGAGAATTTATATCAGAACTTTCAATTTGAGAAGAAACAGTAGTTTTTTGTGTGAAAAACATATTATCAGTGTAATTAGTGCTATTGGAATGGAAACCATTTGTTTCTAGAAAAAAAGAAAATATTGAAAGTTTGTTTTTTAATTTTTACTAAATCATAAGGCCTAGAATATCACATATTCATTTTAGTGTATCGATCATATATACCGATTGCTTCGTTAATAGTTGAATATATCCGCCGATTATCTTTTATTTTTTTTGTTTTCAAAATATTCTCATTTTACTGTTTTAGAATCAAATCAATATATACTCTTAATCGATTTTGAATTCATACCTGTACACTGCCTCATTGAAAATGAACAAAATCTATTAACTATATAGCCGTAAGTTAAAAAATCGATTAACAAATGTTGTGAAATAAGTTTTTTTGTAATAACATATTCTGAGTTACTATTGGTTTACAGTTTATTGATAGTTAACAATAAGCAAAAGATAAATAACATTGAATCAAAAACGTCCTTAGTCAGTAATTTTATTCAAAATTTAACTTCTATTAAATATACATGAAGAATTCATGTGATGAAAATAATATCAAACAAAAAACTTTTTTTTGTTAAATTAAGTGTAGACAAAACAGAGTTCGATAAACAAAAATTCTTCTAGTACTTTGTGCGCAATAATAACATATTTTAATGACAATGAAAATTGTTTCCTTTTTTTTATTCTCTGTCTATTAAAATAACAATATTTAAGACTTACGTTCTTTAAAATAAATATTTATTATACTTCTAAAATAACTTTTCAATATAAAGAAATTTCTCTTAGAAAGATCATTTCCTCATGATAATAAATAGAGAAATTTATTTAAATATTATCCTACCTGTATGAGAATACATTAAATTATTCATTGGAGGTCGTTGTACTGATGCTCTTGGTGTTTCTTCTTCATCGTCTAATTCATTATCATTTTGTTGTGGTACATATGTATAATAGAGTCGTCGTAATGATGGTGAATATGATTCTAGATATTGATTAAATAAATCTGGATTTGATATTCGTTTAATATGTTGAATTGCTCGAATAAGAATCATATTATAATTCGAACGAAATAGATTATCTTGTAAATATTGAAGAAGTAATTCAAATATAGATGATATATTTTCATGTTGATGAGATTTTGTTAATAAATCACTTAATGTTTCGATAGATTTTATACATATACGTATATTAGGAGATTTTAAACCATCTTTTATATAAATATATAAAAATGTTGGAATATCATCTGTTATATTAAGTTGTTTAACTAATAATTGAGAAGTTAATGTTTGAATATCATGTGATGTGGAAGAAAAACATTGAATAATCACTAAATAGAAAAAAAAAAGATACGAAAATCATTTTTTGTTTGTTTTTTTATAAACCTGGAAGATAAGTTCGTTGATCATAATGATGTATAGTTATTTGAAGATCCGATAGAAGTGTTAAACAATTAAATAGATATTCTAAATTTGTTGTTTGTTGAAGAGTATTTGCCAGAGCTAAGAAAACATCATGTCTTTGAGATGCATCAAGAATATTTGATAAACGATTACGACGAGGATTTTTACACCAATGATTAACAATTTGAATTTTATTTTCAGTATTTTGTCCATGTAAAAGTATATCAATTAATTGACTATCAGCCATAGTTAAATCATTTTTAGGTAAAATATATGGATTTGATGAAGGAGAACCACCCGAACCTTTGGGCATAGTATGAATTGATGATGTAACAGCCATTGAAGAGAATTATAAATTTTTTTTAAACTGACTGATGTTTAACGACACAATACCATTAATGTTATTTCTTCTTCATCTTCTCAACTCGTTCTGTGTTCTTGTTTATTCTGTAAACAAGGAAAAGAATAATTTATTTAATATATATAGATAACCTTGAATTCATCTTATCGATCAAATCGAGACATTCTCAATCCTTATCTTCAAATAAAATTTAATTATAACTTTTTAAACTCAATATGTTGATATTCATTTTTTTCTATATTTATTCCATCATAAAGTGCTTAGCGACATTATAGATGTTACATTACATAGCAACTGTAGTTAGTACTAGAAAATAGATTTATAATATATTTATTTTATCATAAACGTAATCTCAAACTAAATAAAATTAAGCTTAAATAATTAGAAATAAGAAAAATTAGAAATAAATTGACAACTGGTGACATCTAATTTAATTGCCTTTGCATGCAAACCATCCTGTTGTCATCGGCTTTGGATAACCAGGTTCCGTACGGTTCGTTTTTATATCAAAAATATATACTTTTCGATCAGGTTCAGTAAAAAAGTAATGTTTTCCTTGATATGTAAACGCTGTTCGAACATCAGCTGGTACACCAGGAAATTGTTCATTGAGACGTTTTGGTGGTTTATTATCTTCATATCGAATATCATCTTCATGAAATTTAAAAAGAAGACCACCTTTCAAAAGCCAAATATGTTTTTTTTCATAAAGAGCAGCTACTGGATTAAATCTATTTTAAATAAGTCATATACATTTCATTAGAGATTAACAAAAAATACTTACGGAGTACCAGTACCAAATAAACGTTTAGGAAAGCCATCATCAAGTGTATTTGGATGAGAAAATCGCCATACTCGTCGACCTTTAAAGAGATAAATTTTGTTTGTTTTTGGAGATACAATTCCAGCCATCATATGTGGTTCAGCACCAGGAAATGTTTCAGTAATTGGAAGTCCTTTTGTGTCCCACTGACCTTGATAATTACGCCAGACAGTATCATAATCAAGTGTATATAACCAACCGTCTGAACCACCGAATACAACATCAAGAAAACGAGCACATCGATCATGCGATAATGTTTGTGCTTGTGTTGTTTGTGATTTTCTAGTTGTTGTCTTAACAGTCTTCTGAGTTTTAGCACCTTTTTTTGTTGTTGTTTTCTTCGTTGTTGTTTTCTTCGTTGCTGCTGTTGTTTTAACTGTAGTAGCATGAAAGGTTGTCGGCTTATTTGTTTCACTGGTTCCATATAATGCACGAATACCATCACGATCCTACAATCAATATTACATAGTAGTCGTGAAAAATATAATTATGATTCTTTTTTAAATACATCTTTTGGAAGTAGGTCTTCCGGTTTAATTAATTGATAAAATGGAAACATCAATGATTTTGGATCAGATGAATGTGCTAAACCAAGTGCATGACCAATTTCATGCGAAGCAACCAAACGAAAATTATAACCAGCACCGTCAACATATCTATTATTATTTTTAAAATAGTAGATTTGTTTTTTTCATATTCATTTGTACTTACTTATCTGTCCAGTCTTCTGTTGCATCAAAATGTACTTTACCATCCGTTGGAAAGAAAGCATGAGCAAGAGTACCACCTGAACCATCGAATGGATAACCATCATCATGTTCACCTGTTTGAAAGCTAATACTAAAGTCAGTTTTTTCACCTGCTTCCGCTTCACGAAATTTTAATGGAGCATATTTTGCCCAATCATTAAATGCTTCTTGTATAAGTGATCGTGTTTTATCTTTTCCAAGTTTAGCTGCTTCATTATTTAATGTCCATTTTAATGTTGAATTAGGCCTATAAAACAAGAGAATATTTAGTCATTTCAATTGATATTTATTATTACCAAGGACGAAAAGCAGAATAAGCCAAAGGATAATCACCCAAACTACATCGAGCTTTATTCATAAGCTCGACAGTTTTTGCATCAAGTCGACCAGTAACAGGTAAACGGTAAAGAGTTTGAAAATGTTCAATCATTGTTTGAAAACTTGATTGACATAATGGTCCTTCACCTTTAATCTTTGCATCTACACTACCACTACAGTGATTATAACCAAATTTATTTAAAAATTTCAATGCATCCGTATTTGATTGAACTTTTGGAGCTTTCGCGTGTGATTTTCCTGTTTTACCTTTTATTGGTTTTCCTGTTTTACCTTTTATTGGTTTTCCATAAGACAATGTAAAAAATAAGAATAAGATGATGAAACAAGACTTCACTATCATTTTTGTTTTACACTCAATGAATGTTATGGTTTGTATTAATAATGAAAAAATATATGATAGTAAATCAATGAATGAAAGAATGAATTAATTGATAAGATTTTATTTAAACTCAAATTACAAAAAGAAAATACTATATATCAAATTTCAAAGATTATCAATAAATACACCATATTTTGATAGTTTGTTTAGTTCATTTTTAAGTTCTTTATTTGACATTTTTCCATTTGTTGTCCAATGTCTATCGACAGTGAAAAAATAATAGGGACCACCACGAACTAATGTTCGTCGTTGTCCATCATTTAAATCTTGACCATCTTCTATTTCAGCATAATCACATAAATATACTGGATGTTGATCAGCACATGTCCATATATACCATTCAATAGGATAGTTTTGTTCTATAATAAATTTACGCATAAGTAAACTTCTTGGAATATTTCCATCATCAACAACATATGCAGGTTCATTAGCTCGACTTGCTGCTTGATAAGCAAGACGTGGAATATTTTGTTGTTTAAGTTCATCAATCCATCCACCTGAATAACATGTATCAGCAATAATTGTTAATGATGATATATCATCGTAGTTATCAGCAATTGGACGAGAACGCCAAGCATTGATAATATCTTGACAAGTAATTTCACCACCATATGAAAATCCCCAATTACCTGAATTATCTAATCCATGACCACACCAATAAATAAGAAATGTTCGTCGTTCACCTTTATTATTATCATTATCAAGTTGAAAGAATTCATTAATCAAATCATATGCTTCATTTCGTGAACTATAAAGACGTGTAGGAACACATCGCCAAACAGAAGCATTGGTTTGTTCAAAGAATCGTGTAATTGCATGAAAATCTCGTTGCCATAAATGTTCTTCTAAATGAACATCTTGTTTTTTACGAGAATGTTCGTCACCACGACGGCGACGATTAGTAATTCGAACACCAGCACTATCATCATAAATTGAACCACCTAAGAGAAGAACTATTGTACGTTCATTTTTCAATTCTTTCTTATTCTTATAAACAGGTTTCCATGGCATGTTCTTAATCAATCCATTCGCTAATAATAAAATATTTTCACGCAAATTAATACCTATTTAAACTATTTCATCAAGTATTGCGAAAGAATAATTACGAAAGATATGAATGTGTATGACACATTATAATAGAATAGAAAAAAATAAGATGAAGAACGGAAGAAAAACTATTGACGTGATATAGTAAATACGAAAAATTGACATAGATAAAAAAGAAAATATTTCTAAGAAAAGAATCATAAAAACGTTGGTTTTTTCATAGTTACTTGCGATAAACTTCAGATATTGAAGAGTCACAGATAGACACTCACCAAATTCTTAATATCGCATAATATTTTAGAATTTGTCGCGAAAACTTCATTCTGTATTATATTTTACAACAATTATAGTTGCACATTAATAAAACGATATAAATTTTAAGGATATATGTGACTATTATAAAATCTATTTTAATTTATTTAGTTATGAGAGGATGCATATCATTTCGTCCACACATGTTCAAATGTATGAAAAAAGAGTGAGATTAACTAGTCATCAAACTAAATCATATACAACTATCATATACATAAGCTTAATTTTCATTTATCAAATTTATTCTTGTCATATAATCATCAATGATAAATTTTAAGTAATTAATCGAGTTTATTAGATGAATTCATAAGAAAAAATGAACTGTCAAATAAAAAACTTCAACAAGTAGTGAAGAGAAAATGTCTTTTTCTTTTTTGTTCTCTTTATCTTCATGATCCTTTGATAAATACACTTGCAATAGCACCAACAAGATTGATGATAATTGTAATAATTCCTATTATAGCAG